CCGTAGTGAACAAATGTGTGACGGCCGAACGTTTGATGAATGTATTTTCTGGCATGAAGCAGGAGTATTGAAAGGGAACAACATTAGGGAAGCGTACGGCAACTATGTCACCGGGCAAGTGACCGCACCCTATCAACACAAAGAGCTAGAAAAGGACTTCAAGAAGCTAAGAGAGTTCATCAATGCGAAGTTGAAAGGGAGGTAACAAAGTTGTTTGTCAAATTCAATTTTTGGTGTATAATTTATTTTAGCTAGCACATTTTTTTTGACATCCTATATATGCTAAGCTAAAATGGGTTGAAATTGCATGATGACAATATTTCGTACCATATGAAGTAAGTCCTAGTTAATTTATTTTGTGTTTTTATGTCACGAGATTTTAAAATTGGACTTAGTAATTGCATGTGATGCGTATAATTGAGAAAATAAAATTGAAAGGGGGAAGAAAAATTAAAAGATAAAAATCAATACGCAACCCCGCGTTTTAGTCTCAATATACGTTTAGGACCGTCCAAAATTAAAATCTCTAGGTCTCAATTTTTGTTAAACCCGTCAATTGGCTAGTCGAAATAAAATCGAATAAAAGAAATAATTTTTCAAAATTGACAAAGCCAAAATGACTTGGGTATAAGTTTCGGCATCATCAAAAAGGGGGAAATTGTTAGGAATATATTGTAAATTTTGATGAGTCGAATGTATTTTTGAAAAATCAAGTAGTCCCCATTTTTATTCTATTTGAGTCAGTTTGAGTCTACGGAGTATGGTGCACCCATATCATGCAACCCATGTACAAGTCTGGAAAATCACATGTTGATTTTAGATGTTAAGCGGGATTATAGCTTAACACAATTAAGTTGCGGATAAGTCACCAAGAACCATGCTAGAGGAGTTAGAAGAAACGCGTGTGAGCTATGCCAAATGATCCTAAGTTTGAATCTCAAGTGAAGCATTTCTAAGCTTGGGAGACTAGCTTGGACCGTATGAGAGACTAGCTCTAACCGTATGGGAGACTAGCTTGGACCGTATAACTGTATGGGAGACTAGCTCAAAGTATACCAAACCGTATGAGAGACTAGCTAACATGGAGACTCTCCAATATGGAGACTAAGGAAGGAAAATGCACAAGTCTCACAAAAGCCATGCACCATATGGAGAAACACACCAAGTATGGTGAACCAAGCTTAAATTCGAAACAGAGCATCTCACCATGGACAACTGTGAAGTTTTTACAGAGGTTCAAGTATATTATTTTACCAGTATATTATTTTACAAGGATCATGAAGGAGAAAATATCTGATATATTTTCATCTGAACATCAAGTTTTTACGGTGGAACCGGAGACGCTCAAAGAAGGTTGATTCGCGGAGAAATTATTTTATACTCAAGCAAGAATCAGCAGATAAATTATTTGATCAACTTGACATGTCAGAGTATTTATGAAGGACCATAAATGTCAAAGATTGCCGCGCCGAATTTATTCAAATTCTGGAGGCTACAAAATTCAAGAAACGACAACGGGCAAATTATTCAAATCATCTGACAAAAGGAGAAATGACATCTACCTAATATTTCAGATCAAGTTGACAATATTATTTGATCAACTACAATTCAAAATGGACGATCAAGATCGAAAGTTGATCAACGGGCAAATAGCTTTTACTAACTATAAATTGTCCAAGCAGACTTGAAGACAAATAGAGTGAAGAGAAGAGAGCAGTTAAGCAAGAAAAACCCCAAGAGATTGAGCAGTTCAAACTTGAACAAACGGCTAAGACATACAAGCAAAAGATACAAGCTATTTTTTTTTATTAGCCGAAAAGGGGAAAACAGAGCTTCATAGAATAAAATTCAAGTCTGAGTGAGAGAGAAATTTTATTTCTTTGTAATATTCTCTACTGAGTGTAGAAAGAGGGCGGAGTAACTAGAGAGAGTGAAAAACCCTGGTTGAGTGTAGCTTTGTGCGTAGCACTCGTGGTGAAGGCCAGAGTAACAAGAGGAGCTTGTGAAAACCCTTGGAGGACGTAGCTTTGTGCGTAGTTCTCGTGGTGTAGGAGTACAGCTTGGTGCGAAGTACTCGGGAAGGCGGAGTAACAAGAGGAGCTTGCGAAAAACCTTGGAGGAGTGTAGCTTTGTGCGAAGCACTCGGAGAAGTGTCGGTGGACACTTATTCACTATTGTATCTGGGTGATCGAAGAATAGTGAATTTCCTCCTTGAAGTGAAAGGAGAAGAGTGGACTAGGAGGATTACACCACCTCTGAACCACTATAAATCTCTCTCTCTGTTTACTTACTGCTCATATATTTTGTGCATGCTTATTCTAACTGCGAACTAACCCGATTACGATTTATCGCTTATCTTTATATGTCTGGGTTTGATAGTTCCCACGTTTGCATGCAAGCCAAACTTTACGTACATCATCCTTGAACCATATCAAGTGTTTCTAACGTGTTGCATGTTTAGAATCTCTCTTTGAGCACCGCACTAATTAAGCATAACACTTTACCGCTACTTATTCCGCTGCACACTCTAAGTTGCTTATCTTGTTAATGCTTGTTACTTAGAGTTGAAATTACCAAAGTGTCATTTGCCTTGTAAGTTTTCGAAGAAAGTTTGAAAAGTTAGAGAAGTCTATTCACCCCCCCTCTAGACTTCTCGCCACCCTTTCGGGACCAACAGCTACTGGTGAAAATTTGAAAAGACAGCTACTATTGAAACTTGGTATCCACACTGTACATGGGTCCCAACTTTCAGACAAAATTAAAGACTTCATGGCTAAGGAAGGGGGCCTGTCCCTTCCAAGAGATAAATCCAATTTATCTCTGCGTTGTAAAAAGATAAAGATAAGATTCGTTCTTATCTTCATCTTTATTACAACATGTGAAAAATGTAATATATGTACAAAGTAGCTGATGAGATAAGATTCGTTCTTATCTTTATCCTGTAGATAGTAGTTAGCTGTACATCCTAGAACCTTTAGTCTCTTGTATAAATAGGTGTGATGACAATCATCTACCTTATGCATCCTAATGAAAACCCCTTTGTTCATACGCTCTAAATTGTCACACTAAATTTCTTTGCTCCAACTTCTTCAAATTGCTACTAAGAGGTATGATCCCAACTTAATCTTCTTACTTTGTGTTAGTTTTTATTCTTATTTTTAATCATATGTATATCTGAATCCAACAGACGTAAATCCTGTTTGAGCCGAAGCAATCCATGTAGTCTAGAAAACCTTTGGGGAAGAAGTACCAAGAAGGGAAAAGAGTACCCAAATAAGGTTCATAGATGTTGTTAGGATTGTAAACGGAGAAATCTGGTAGTAGGTTAGGGGTGAAAAGGTGAGGGTTTTAGATAAAATATGATTAAATAGTAAGCATAAAAACTAACATGAACTGATAAGATTAAGAAAGATCATATCTGGCAGTAGTAAAGAGAAGAAGAAGGAGCAAAGCTTTAAAAACTGTTTGAAAAAACTAAAATAAATTCTCAAAACAATGCCTGCTAAAAAGACAATTTGTACAAAAAATTGAAAACATGGATAAAAAATTTATTCAAGAATATTTTGGAAACAATGAAAATTTTCAAGTTGAAAGAAATTTTGGAAACATATTTACGACATACTATTTAGATGAAAAATCTAAAGATAAAGAATTTCTTGAATATACAATAAATATTCCAAATTTCAACGAAAAAATTTATTATCTACTTAAAAAATTTCCCTACCCAGACTTGGTAAAACAAATTATCAAGTATTTAAAATTTTTCACATTCCAAGAAAAATTTGTATTAGACAAATTAAAACAACAATTAGAAATAGATTTTGAAGAAGAAAAATTAGAAAATTTGGTTGAAGAAATAATCGAATTAGTTTCTCAACCAAAACACATTAAAAATTTTGAAGCAGAATTTCATCAACAACATGCACACATAAATTATGAAATAGGAGACTCCTACAGACATTCAACTCCTGTTTATCCCATAAATTACGACTCTGATAATTATGAAAATTACTACAGTGGAGCTGAAACTGAATAATTTTAGCAATTTTGAAATGTCTTCAACTATCATTTTTTACACCTTAAATTTAATTTTCAACTCCTACACACATCCAAACTCTTCATCAAAATTTATTTCCGAACAAATAAATTCAAACAACATTTCTACTTTGTATTATTTCCTAACTAATTCAAAAAATATTAATGTTATGTACTACATGTCATGGATTAGTCACTTCAACTCCTACACATACCCAAACTCTTCAAAATTTTTCTCCGAAGTTATAAATTTAAAACACTATTCCACTTTGACTTATTTTCTAACTAATCTAAAATTTATCAATGACATGTACTACATGTCATTGGATAGTCATTTCAAAAACTACTACATCATTTCTTTTTCACAAATTACCACTAGTACAAAACAGGCGATTCGCGTCTGTTGTTTAGAGCTATTGGCGTCACTTTTACAACAGGTGTTTATGAACAAGACGCTGATAGTTATGACTTTTAGGCGTCTGTTGTTCACAGTCGCGTATTCTTGACTATAGGCGTTTGTTCTTTGCGAACAACTGACGCCTTATCCTACCAGATTTTGCAAATTTTCAAAGACGCGTATTGCTTTTAATTTTTTATTTTTATTTATTTATTTATTTTTTTGGTTCAAGCCTGCTACAGTAAAATCAATCCTCCATAATATACATTGTCAACACAATATTCATTAACATGATTATATTTTACAATTCAAAATATAATCCAAACTACATCCCAATTCAAAATATTAATCCACACTACAATCCAAACTAAACTACAATAATCCATAATATATAATCCAAACTAATACATATAATAAACAATATAATCCAACCATTAATATTTAAGTACGCCATCACGATACACACACTTATACACATTCATTATAAAAATACTTGGCCCACATTTCACGAATCTCATCAATTTCTTCCATGGAATATGTCAAAGTGTCTTGAAAAACCTACAAATGAATTATTAATTATATTAGTAATCAGTTATAATTAATTCAATTATTACCAAATACTTATTTTATATCAGTTTATATGTACCTCATCCAAAGAAGTGAATGTGAAATATTTTGTGCACAGTTCGTGCATATACTTCATAACGTAATATCCACACTCAAAATCACCTGGTTGTTGAGCACACTAGAAAAACAAATGACAATATAGTAAATATTATTTGTAATCTAGCTAACAATTAATTAACAACAAATTAATAAGTAAACATTATTGTATTTTACCTTTACATGTTTAAAGTTGAAAAGACTTTTTGCTCTTTGTCCTTGTTGATTCATATATGATCGGAATGCCCTATCATTAATGTAATAAACACAATTTATAAATTATAACACATTATATAAATAAATTTATATAGAGATATACTTTTACTTACATGTTCACCGCAGGCTTGAGTTCTATATTCCGGTCACATTTTATAGGATCAAAGACATATACTATTCTCGAACAAACATTAATCACTAGAAGCAACCAATGGTCTCTACAATTTATAAACACATACATTGCAAATTCAATTAGTAATAATTCAAATTCACTTATATAAACAAGTAAGAAGAATAGATTACTTACGATTGATGGTACGGTGCTAAAATTAATGTCTTGTCCTTCAATGTGACCATAGCATTTGCAATATATGCAGTGACAACATTAAAGTTGAAATCAAGAGTGGCTTTTGCTATCTGTGTTGGACACAAAAATCCAACTGAGTCAGTCCCAAATTGATTGCTGTGAAGATACCTGAAAAATCATTAAGTAATACATTAATATCATTAAGTAATACATTAATAATTAATTAAAATTTTCAAATTAATAAATATACAAACTTACATTATAAAGACTTGTATAATGGATACATCAAGTCATTTCATGGTTAACAAGTCCTTAATATTATCCATCATAACAAAAATACTTCTCACGTTGGTATGGTGAAAGACATTAGAATCTAATTCCAATTCAAAGTAATCAGTATCAATAGGCATTGATAGAAGCACATTGTGCACCCGCTTGCACTCAACCCCCAAACGCTGTAAGGTATCATCATCAACCAAATTGGGTCGTCTAGTACTCGATTCCTCACCACAGTCATACTTGTTTTCAACTTTCGGCTTCATCACTATATCTTCCTGTGAATAGAGGAACTTTTAATCATGATAACATATACAAATAATAAAAATTCAATAAATTATACAACAAAACAAGTTCATACCTCTCCTATACCAACTAAATGTATTGGCCACTGTACAAAACTTCCAATGACATCTCCAATATGTGTATAATGTTGAGTGTGCACTGGTAGAAGAAATGTCTCTCCCCCCTCAACAATCACATGATCCACTGACACCTTGGCATGATTTGGTAATACTATTTGGTTGTGCACTACGGTGTCAAATCGAGTTGGGTAAACAATTCCTCTTGCAACTACTTTTATGGTATCCTCACCAGTACATAAGGCAAGCCGACATGGAGTCGGACTCTATCATTTAACACAAGACAATAATAAAATAAATAAAACATGTTAAATTAATACAATTTTTAAGATTATAAGCATTTAATATTTACCTCAATCAGGGTAAATGGATATGGATCCATCGACTGGCAACTGCTACGAACAACTAGTGGATCAACAGGCTTATACATGCTTTGTGGCGTGCCCATAGAAGCTCCAACATCTTGGGGCATTTTTTTTCTCAAATCCTGAAGTTGATCGTTTAGGTTGTCAATCTTAGGTTGCATTGCTAAAATTGTTTCTTGCCTTACTTTTTCAACCAAAGCTTCTACATCATCTATCGGAAGAACTCCCCTCGATCTTTCCTTACTCTTAACTGGCTTTCCAAACCCTTTCTTCACAGTCACATATGAACCAACGCCTCTAACTGAACCTGAATGGTCTTTCTTACCAAGGGATTCTGACAATACATCATGATGTCTAGAAGGCTTAAATAACCCTTGGTTAACTTCTTCACACTTCTCCACCTATTTAAGTAAATAATTAAACAAAATATTAGCATTAACTTTACTATTAAATTATTAACATAAATTATTCTTATTTGTAAAAACTTACAATTTTTTGAACCACCCCTATTGTTTTCTCATTGGGAATGTAGTATTTTCCATCATCTCCTTTTTTAGATCTTGCTCGAATCCAATCTAGACCACGGTCATTTGGTGCAAGTGTCGAGCTAATAGTTGCACAGGAAGTTTGAGTTGAAATAGGATCTGCTACAAGCCACTCGGGCGTTTTACCTGCATATCCCGCTGATCCTAAATAATGTGGATGTACATTTTTTCGTTGCTTTGCCATTGCTCTTTCACTTTTCTCCTATTAGTGGACAAATGCAGAGGTCATGCAGTTTCTAGTTACACTAAAGTTCATGACTTAAAAGAAAGCGGGCCACACAAGTCTCAGCTTTACCGTTGAAACACTTTTTCCTCTTTCGATAAGGATGACCAATAGGGAGGAAGGCCCGATGACTCATGAATACATTCTTTCTACTATTACTCAACCAAAGATCACTTGTTTCATCTTCACAAATAGGGCATGCCTTCGCTCCTTTTGTAGTATACCCTGACAAGTTACCATATGCTGGAAAATCATTTATTGTACAAAATAACATGGCTTGCAAAGTGAAGTTGGTTTGACTATATGCATCAAACACCATCACGCCTTCATCCCACAACATTTTCAAATCTTCCACAAGTGGTGCTAAGTACACGTCTATGTCATTCCCTGGTTGTTTAGGCCCTGAAATAAGCAATGACAACATGATGTACTTGCGCTTCATACACAACCAAGGAGGAAGATTGTAAGCTACCAAAAGAACCGGCGAAGTACTATGTCGACTACTCATGTTGCCATGGGGGTTCATTCCATCAGTGCATAACCCAAGCCTAAGATTCCTATTTTCATTGCCAAATTCAGGAAACATTCTATTAATGTTCCTCCACTGAGGAGAATCGGCTGGGTGTCTTAATTTTCCATCTTCCTTCCTCCCTTTAGCATGCCACTACAAATTCTTTGCATCATTTTTATTTGCAAATAAGCGTTTGAATCTTGGTATCACAGGTAAATACCATAGCACCTTCGCTGGAGGGCTTTTCTTATCCTCACACTGATAAGCAACATTTTTTCTCTTATAACGTGATGCTCCACACTTTGGACATACATGCAAGTTACTGTATTCCTTCCAATACAATACACAATCATTTGGACATGCATGTATCTTCTTGACCTCCATGCCCAGTGGGCACAACATTTTCTTAGCCTCATAAGTTGAAATAGGAAGCTCATTATCATTAGGAAACATGTCTTTTAAAAGCTCTTATCACTCCACCGATTCATTGCTTTTAAGTTATATAATTTTAGCACAGCAGATAGCTTTGTAAATTTACTACACCCAGGGTACAAAGATTTTTCTGAATCAATAGAAAAGCTTTCAAATATAGGAGGCATTTCACTATCATCTCCTTGAATATCACGCATGAGTTCATCTATTCGATCATTCTCTTCATTTTCCTCATTGTCTACATTCTTTTCATCATTATCATCATCATTCTCTTCATCATTGTCTATTCTATTACTAGGAAGTACACTTTCACCATGCCATATCCACCTGTTGTAATCTTCCTTAAAGCCACGACATATTAAATGACTCCTCACTTGCTCAAAACTACGAAATTTCCTAAGATTCTTACAATCATAACATGGGCACACAAGAAATTCTTCACCATTTTTGCTTTTATTTTCTTCAGCATATTTTATAAAATTTTCAACCCCTAGCATGTATTCATGTGTATTGCGTTTCCCATACATCCAACTACGATCAATACCTCTCGTCTGCAAGATTATGAAACTTTAACCGAAATACATATCATATAAGATATAGACAAATGAAGGTGGATAAGGCATTTAGTCTATATAATATAATTGAGAATCTATAATTAAGCATTTGGTCAGTTTGTCCAGTATGGAATTACATTTTTGAAACTTTATTTTATTCCTTTGCATTAGTTTTATTCCAGTTTAAAATCTATAATGCTTTAATCAATACTTTACATTTCTATTTGGTTTTTAATCAATTTACATTTACCTAAAAAAAAATGAAATAGACCAGACTACATAATAAGGCACACATTATATCACATAATAATAATAATAATAATAATAATAATAATAATAATAATAATAATAATAATAATAATAATAATAATAATAATAATAATAATAATAAATAATAAGGGACACATTATATCAAATAATAATAATAATAATAATAATAATAATAATAATAATAATAATAATAATAATAATAATAATAATAATAATAATAAGGAGGCACGCATTATATGACATAATAATAATAATAATAAATAAGGGACACAATATATCAAATAATAATAATAATAATAATAATAATAATAATAATAATAATAATAATAATAATAATAATAATAATAATAATAATAATAATAATAATAAAGCACACATTATATCAAATAATAATAATAATAATAATAATAATAATAATAATAATAATAATAAAAGAAGAAGAAGAAGAAGTCGCACATTATATACCTGAAGCGCGGTTGAAGGTTGCAAATGGAGGTCGAAGCAGCGCTGGTGGAGGTCGCCGGCGGAGGTCGACGCAGTGCAGTTGGAGGTCGCCTCTGAACCTTCGTTGTCACTTAGCTGTTGGAGCTCGCTGCGCCGCCAAAGTTGCCTTCTCAATCTATGGTGAAGTCGGTATTAGAGGTCGCTGGCGAACCTTTCCCCTCAACCCATGGCTAAAGTCGGCGGTGTTCAGGGAAATAATGGAGATGGAGGTCGCCGGCGGTGGCTGCTCGTACGAAATGTTGGAGATGAAGAGTATTGGCGGTGGTTGCTGAAGAAGGGCTAGGGGTTGGAGTTACGTTGGTGAAGAAGCTTACAATGTAAGCTTTAGCTAGCGGTGGTCTATCAGCCAAATATTGTTTTTTTTTATATTATTATTATATTTTATTATATAGACCACAGGCTACTGTTCTGATTAGAACAGTAGTCTGTTGTCTACGAATTTTTTTTTTAAAAATTGGGAGTGGTTTTCCCTCCTGTTATTTTAAACAACAGGTGCTAATTGTTGTTCATAATATTACAAAAATGCCACTGTGCGAGTTTTAGTCTCTAATTTTCAAACAACAGATGCTAATAGTCTAATATTTTTTGTCAAGTTTGTACTAGTGTACTATCTTAATTCTTACATGTTTTATTTTTCACAAACTAAACCTCTGTGGAGTTGAAAATTTTTAGTATTATATATATATATATATATATATATATATATATATATATATATATATATATATATATATATAGTAAATTACACTTTTGGTCCTGTGACTATTGTGGTGTTATTAATTTCAATCCACGACTTTAAAAACTAACAATTTAGTACTCTAACTATTCAATTGCTATCAATTTTGGTCCATTTGGTCAAATTGTCAGCAAATTTTAATTGAAAAGACAAATATACCCTCAATTTTTAAAAATAATAAATGAAAAATTCAATTATGTACTTTTCCGGTGGAAGCTAGACGCAGGTTTGAGATTGCCGTTGCTGCTGCCGTTCTTCGTCGTACCATCGCAGCACCACGCCAAGACACTAGCTGCCTCCACCATCATTGCGTACCTCTGGTCATCACTCTCTCTCTCTCGCTCGTCGACGGCAACATGGTGAACCAGCAGCAGCGCCGGCGTCTTCCCGGCGAGTTGAGCAGCGGCGGCGGACTAGTGTAATCAGCAGCAGCTCTCCTCTGGCGTGCAACGGTGGCCAAGCTCTTGGTGTTCCAAAAGTATAATTCAAGACCAACTAAAATTCAGATAAGCATTTTAGGCACACCCCATTCGTGACCCCTCAAGAATAAATTACACTGAAAACCCAATCCCCAGACAAAAGTAAACAAACAAAATGCGTAATGAACATGAACTGGATCCAGGAATGGGGGAAGAATGATTCTCAAGAAGTTTAAACATTGGGCAAAGAATCAGAGGAAGTGTGAGAACTGAATAGCACCGTAGACGGCGGAAAACATGTGGGGCCGGAAGGTGAATCACGTTAACGGAGGGGAAACTGGAGAAGAACAACAACACACAATCATGGCGAGGCTCGTAGAGTCGAAGAAGATTTTCGCCGAGATTGGATATGGAAATCATTTACTATCATCCATCGCGTAACACGTATACACGTAAAATATACTTGTGGAAGACCAAGAGCTTCGCCACCGTTGCACACCGGAGGAGAGCTGTTGCTGATTACACTAGTTCGCCGCCGCTGCTCAGCTCGCCGGGAAGACGCCGGCGCTGCTGCTGGTTCACCATGTTGCCATCGACGAGCGAGAGAGAGAGAGAGAGAGAGTGACGACTAGAGGTACGCAGCGATGGTGGAGGCAGCTAGTGTCTTGGCGTGGTGCTGCGATGGTGCGACGAAGAACGGCAGCAGCAACGACGATCTCAAACCTGCGTCTAGCTTCCACCGGAAAAGTACATAATTGAATTTTTCATTTATTATTTTTAAAAATTGAGGGTATATTTGTCTTTTCAATTAAAATTTGCTGGCACTTTGACCAAATGGACCAAAATTGATAGAAATTGAATAGTTAGGGTACTAAATTGTTAGTTTTTAAAGTCGTGGATTGAAATTAACAACACCATAATAGTTACAGGACCAAAAGTGTAATTTACTCTCTCTCTCTCTATATATATATATATATATATATATAACTGCAATGACTTACCACTTTCTTGCATAATTTTCAGACTTTCACGGCGTCTCTCTTCATAAACTCGTGTACCACCAATTTCTTTCAGCAGATCAAGTCGCTCTGAATCTTTCATCAATGTCAGAGATGCTATCTGCAAATTAAGAGAAGAATGAGCAGAGCATAGTCAAAAGCATAATCTAAAGAAAAAGTGCAATAGCGCTTAACCTTCCCCTACTGCACAACATAGTACAGATTAAAACGAGAGAATCCAACACTTTCTAGTAAATTCATGACCTCAGTCTTCCTGCAAGTCACGTTTAACTTTTCCATTAACCGTCATCAAAGAGCTTCAACTAGAACGTGAAAGAGTAACCGGAAGCAGTACACAAAGGGTGTGTTTGTGATGGGGATATGGGACCCCAGGGGTCCATTTTATTGGGAAAGTATTGACCCAAGTGGGGGTGGTGAAAGAAGGAGGTTGGACCAAGTCTTGTTGGGCTAGGAAGACAAGCACGCATGGTGGGCCAGGGTGAAGAACATGGACTGGAAGGCGGGAGGAAGTAAGTGCGGGAGGTAGGTACGGCATGAGGGGGGTAGGTACGGCGTGAGGGGGTAGGTAGGTACGATATGATGGGGGAGGTAGGTACGACGTGAGGGGGGGGAGGTAGGTACGGCGTGAGGGGGGAGGTAGGTACGGCATGAGGGGGGTAGGTACAGCGTGAGGGGGTAGGTAGGTACGGCTGAGGGGGGGAGGTAGGTGCGGCGTGCATGGTGGAGGATGCGGGAGTCGCGGGGATAGTGGCGACGTGACATGCATGGCGACAAACAAGCGGAGTGTGGAGGAGCAACGTGGGACACGCGGACGCCAGAGGAGGAGGGGGGCTTGCTATAAATAGGGGCCCTAGATCTTTGGCTAAGGAAAAACTCAGACACGATAAGCACTACAGTTTAGTGGTTTTGGTCTTGTACTCTCAATCCAGTCACCTGGGTTCGATTCCTACCAGTAGCATAGTTCGCTATAGCCCATCCTGTGGGCCTTGTTCTTTGTAATTCGGCTGCCATTCTGGGCTTGTACCTCGGGCTTTTGTATGCATTGTTCTGGGCCTAGCGCCCTACCCCCCCCCCCCCCCCCCCCCCCCGTCCTATGTTCCTATACCCGGTCCCAATAAAACCATCATTGGCACCGTCTGTGGGGATCGCTACGATTAGCCCGTGTTTGTAGTCTCTACCATCCTAGCAAGGTTCCGAGGTACGCCCAAATGGTTGATTCGCAAGATGAGCTACCCTATAAGGTAACACACTTAGCATATCGAGACGCTACTCTGGTGAGTACACTTGAACACTTAGTTTGGTAAAGATTGTTTTTATTTTCCCGAACTATGTGCCCTTGTGTGCTCCTATGTGCTCTGCATGCTTGGCCCACGGCCACCTCAACTATATGCTCATATGTGCTCTGCATGCTTGGCTCGCGGCCACCTCAACTATATGCTCATATGTGTCTGCATGCTTGGCCCGCGGCCACCTCAACTATGTGCTCTGCATGCTTGGCCCACGGCCACCTCAACCATGTGCTCCTATGTGCTCTGCATGCTTGGCCCACGGCCACCTCAACTATGTGCTCTTACGTGCTATGCATGCTGGCTCTTCGGCCATGGCGGATGGGGCATGTGGGTTATCGCAACCCACATGTGCGGACTTGCCCCCGGCAAGCCGCATGGTTTTGGCGGATGGGGCATGTGGGTTATCGCAACCCACATGCGCGGACTTGCCCCCAGCAAGCCGCATGGTTTTGGCGGATGGGGCATGTGGGTTATCGCAACCCACATGCGCGGACTTGCCCCCGGCAAGCCGCATGGTTTTGGCGGATGGGGCATGTGGGTTATCGCAACCCACATGCGCGGACTTGCCCCCGGCAAGCCGCATGGTTTTGGCGGATGGGGCATGTGGGTTATCGCAACCCACATGCGCGGACTTGCCCCGGTAAGCCGCATGGTTTTTGACGGATGGGGCGTGTGGGTTATCGCAACCCACATGCGCGGACTTGCCCCCAGCAAGCCGCATGGTTTTGGCGGATGGGGCATGTGGGTTATCTCAACCCACATGCGCGGACTTGCCCTCGGCAAGCCGCATGGTTTTTGGCGAATGGGGCGTGTGGGTTATCGCAACCCACATGCGCGGACTTGCCCCCGGCAAGCCGCATGGCGTTGGCGGATGGGGCGTGTGGGTTATCGCAACCCACATGCGCGAACTTGCCCCCGGCAAGCCGCATGGCGTTGGCGGAGGGGACGTGTGGCTTATCACAACCCACACTACCCCGTCCTGCAACCTTCAGTTACCTTCATCCTTAAAAAAAAAAAAAAAAAAAAAAAAAAAAAAAAAAAAAAAAAAAAAAAAAAGTTGCATGCAGGTGTAGCATGGAGAAGAAGCAAAGACATCCATTGAATATTTAAAAGAAGCATGCAGGTGCATCATGGAGAAATTGACAAAGCATACTAAATAAATGCAACAAAAGAGATGTACAGTGCAAGAAGCATCCAAGAAGTGACAATAGAGGAGTCACCTTGACCTCTCGACACTAGGTGATGAAGCGAAGGCCAGGGCAACATGCGGTGTGTGTGGCAGAAGTACGGAGTAATGGCGTGACGCACAACAATGGTAATAATGGAAGGTGGCGGCGAGAGGTTGAGAAAGGGAAAGAAAGGAGGTGGTGATACCGAATTCTACTTCTTTTAGGCATCAAGATACCTAAAAGAAGTGGGGAACTTGTGATGGGGATATCATGAAAGCTTGGGAACTAGAGGTGGAGTTTGGGAAAGAAAGGAGGTAGTTGTACCGAATTCTACTTCCTTTAGGCATCAAGATGCCTAAAAGAAGTGGGGGACTTGTGATGGGGATATGGGACCCTAGGGGTCCATTTTATTGGGAAAGTATTGACCCAAGTGGGGGTGGTGAAAGAAGGAGGTTGGACCAAGTCTTGTTGGGCTAGGAAGACAAGCACGCATGGTGGGCCAGGGTGAAGAACATGGACTGGAAGGCGGGAGGAAGTAAGTGCGGGAGGTAGGTACGGCATGAGGGGGGTAGGTACGGCGTGACGGGGTAGGTAGGTACGATATGAGGGGGGAGGTAGGTACGACGTGAGGGGGGGGGAGGTAGGTACGTCATGAGGGGGGTAGGTACAGCGTGAGGGGGTAGGTAGGTACGGCTGAGGGGGGAGGTAGGTGCGGCGTGCATGGTGGAGGATGCGGGAGTCGCGGGGATAGTGGCGACGTGACATGCAAGGCGACAAACAAGCGGAGTGGGGAGGAGCAACGTGGGACACGCGGACGCCAGAGGAGGAGGGGGGCTTGCTATAAATAGGGGCCCTGGATCTTTGGCTAAGGAAAAACTCAGACACGATAAACACTACAGTCTAGTGGTTTTGGTCTTGTACTCTCAATCCAGTCACCTGGGTTCGATTCCTACCAGTAGCATAGTTCGCTATAGCCCATCCTGTGGGCCTTGTTCTTTGTAATTCGGCTGCCATTCTGGGCCTGTACCTCGGGCTTTTGTACGCATTGTTCTGGGCCTAGCGCCCTACCCCCCCCCCCCCCCCCCCCCCCCCCCGTCCTATGTTCCTATACCCGGTTTATGGTGGACCCGGTCCCAATAAAACCATCAGTTTGGTTGGTAGGTTTTGCCCATAGGAATATGTATGAAAGTGATTGTTGTTGTTTGGTTGATAAGTTTTTAGAACACTACTATGGGTTTGGAATACCCCATCAATTGAAAAATCTATACCAAAATAAAATAAGGATTTCATTCCCTTATTCATTCTCAAGCACTACTATTAGTAACCATTCCCATTCCATCCTACTACCAAACATGTTAAGGGTGTGTTTGGTTCGCACTTAGGAATCAGAATCGGAAATGGTATCAAATACTTGGTAATGGTAATGAGTTTTGGTGAAAGTATTTAACATGTTTGGTAGTAGGATGAAATGGGAATGGTTACTAATAGTAGTGCTTGAAAATGAATAAGGGAATGAAACCCTTAGTGTATTTGGATATGGGTTCAATTGATGGGTATTCGAAACCCATAGTAGTGTTCTAAAAACCTATCAACCAAACAACAACAATCACTTTCATACTCATTCCTATGGTCAAAACCCACCAACCAAACACACTCATACTTTCACCAAAACCCTTTACCATTATCAAGTATTTGATATCCATTCCGATTTCGATTCCTATGTACTAACCAAACGCACCCAAAGTCACTTTGATTGATTATCAGATACCCACGTGATAATACTCATCTTTCTTAAGACCAGTTGTTCTTCTCAAACGCACTTCTTCCTTATCAACATGTCAATAAGAAAGGGCATCAAAATCTATGGAAATAAGGGTGTGTTTGGTTGGTGGGTTTTGCCCATAGGAATGGGTATGAAAGTGATTGTTGTTGTTTGGTTAATAGGTTTTTAGAACACTACTATGGGTTTCGAATACCCCATCAATTGAAAAATCCATAACCAAATACAATAAGGGTTTCATTCCCTTATTAATTATTAACCACTACTATTAGTAACCATTCCCATTCCACCCTACTACCAAACATGTTAAATACTTTCACCAAAACCCATTACCATTACCATTACCAAGTATTTGATACCCATTCTGATTCCGATTCCTATGTGCGAACCAAACACACCCTAAATAATTTGACGAGAAATGAGCATGTTTCTTGTCCATAACAGAAGGGAAGATATAACAGTATAGACATTGGAAACGGCCTTGGACGTTGAATTTTTTTTAGACGGCCATGGCGGTCCATGACCATTTGGAATGAGGGCAGCGGCCTCCGACGAGAACAACCGGACAGCTACGGCTGTCTGGCGCGGACAGCCGGTGGCTGAAATTCTTTATATATATATATATATATATATATATATATATATATATATATATATATATATATATATATATATATATATATATATATATATTTAATAATTGAATATGCAACCTGTAAAAAAAGTTAATCGAACAAATTTAGCTAGTAGATGGGCCTATTTGACATTTAATTTAGTTCGTGGTGAAAATTGAGCACTTCACAGTAGTAGATGAACCTATTTGACACTTCTGTCATTTTTGTGTGTGTAAATCACGAGGTGGTCTGGATATTTTCTCTGCCCGTTTAACTTTGTAAGATTATTATTGCAAATGAGATTAACAATATGAATGCATTTATTGTCTTAACATTTATTGTGTTCACATTTATTAATAATGTTTTATATTTAATATAAATTGTGTATATATTCACTTAAACCTCAATTATAATTAATTTGACCCTACATATATAAAAAGGAGAAATTAGATATAAAATAAACATAGTTTTTACATAAATAATTTTTTCAAATGAACAAATTTTTTGTGGAGATTTTTGACAAACATTACCTGTTATTTTATTTATAATTTCTTTTAAATATGTTAGTTGTATAATTACCAAGATTATGTGGTCTAATGGTATCTGGGTTGGACTTTCATTTGGAAGGTTATGAGTTCAAGCTTCAGTGGAGGTGTTATTGGTTTTTTGTGTTTCAGTAGGTTGAGAAAGTATATGAACAGATACTATATTTTTGTGTTTCAGTAGGTTGAGAAAGTATATGAACAGATACTATAATTAAATTAGTTATTTCAAATAATAATCTATACTATATATAAAAACAAAATCCTGAAATTTTAACTTCCCGCCCAATTCCTAAAAAATCTCTTTTCCTAATAAAATAGTGTAATACAATCTATACTATAAATAAAAAACAAAATCCTCAAATTTTATCTTCCCGCCCAATTCCTAAAAAATCTCTCTTCCTAATAAAATATATTGATTTCTACTTTCCCATTCGTACAATAACTCTGCGTTAAAATTCTATTATAATATTATAAAATAGTGTAATACAATCTATATCTATACTATATATAAAAACAAAATCGTGGAATTTTAACTTCCCGCCCAATTCCTAAAAAATCTCTCTTCGTAATAAAATATATTGATTTCTACTTTCCCATTCGTACAATAATTCTGCGTTAAAATTCTATTCTAATATTATAAAATAGTGTAATACAATCAATACTATATATAAAAACAAAATCCTGGAATTTTAACTTCTCGCTCAATTCCTAAAAAATATCTCTTCCTAATAAAATATATTGATTTCTACTTTCCCATTCGTACAATAATTCTGCGTTAAAATTCTATTCTAATATTATAAAATTATAAAATAGTGTAATACAATCTATATCTATACTATATATAAAAACAAAATCGTGGAATTTTAACATCCCGCCCAATTCCTAAAAAATCTCTCTTCCTAATAAAATATATTGATTTCTACTTTCCCATTCGTACAATAATTCTGCGTTAAAATTCTATTCTAATATTATAAAATAGTGTAATACAATCTATACTATATATAAAAACAAAATCATGGAATTTTTAACTTCCCGCCCAATTCCTAAAAAATTTATATTCATAATAAAATATATTGATTTCTACTTTCCCATTCGTACAATAATTCTGCGTTAAAATTCTATTCTAATATTATAAAATGGTGTAATACAATCTATACTATATATAAAAACAAAATCCTGGAATTTTAACATCCCGCCCAATTCATAAAAATCTCTCTACCTAATAAAATATATTGATTTCTACTTTCCCATTCGTACAATAATTCTGTGTTAAAATATTATAAAATAGTGTAATACAATCTATACTATCTATACTATATATAAAAAAACAAAATCCTGAAATTTTAACTTCCGCCCAATTACTAAAAAATCTCTCTTCCTAATAAAATATATTGATTTCTACTTTCCCATTCGTACAATAATTCTGCGTTAAAATTCTATTCTAATATTATAAAATAGTGTAATACAATCTATATCTATACTATATATAAAAACAAAATCGTGGAATTTTAACTTCCCGCCCAATTCCTAAAAAATCTCTCTTCCTAATAAAATATATTGATTTCTACTTTCCCATTCGTACAATAATTCTGCGTTAAAATTCTATTCTAATATTATAAAATGGTGTAATACAATTTATACTATATATAAAAACAAAATCCTGGAATTTTAACATCCCGCCCAATTCCTAAAAAATCTCTCTACCTAATAAAATATATTGATTTCTACTTTCCCATTCGTACAATAATTCTGTGTTAAAATATTATAAAATAGTGTAATACAATCTATACTATATATAAAAAACAAAATCCTGAAATTTTAACTTCCGCCTAATTCCTAAAAAATCTCTCTTCAAAATATATTGATTTCTACTTTCCCATTCGTACAATAATTCTGTGTTAAAATATTATAAAATAGTGTAATACAATCTATACTATATATAAAAAATAAAATCCTGAAATTTTAACTTCCGCCTAATTGCTAAAAAATCTCTCTTCCTAATAAAATATATTGATTTCTACTTTCCCATTCGTACAATAATTCTGCGTTAGAATTCTATTCTAATATTATAAATAGTGTAATACAATCTATACTATATATAAAAACAAAATCCTGAAATTTTAACTTTCCGCCGAATTCCTAAAAAATCTCTCTTCGTAATAAAATATATTGATTTCTACTTTCCCATTCGTACAATAATTATGCATTAAAATTCTATTCTAATATTATAAAATAATGTAATACAATCTATACTATATATAAAAACAAAATCCTGAAATTTTAACTTTCCGCCCAATTCCTAAAAAATCTCTCTTCCTAATAAAATATATTGATTTCTACAATAATTCTGGGTTAAAATTTTATTGTAATATTATAAAATTGTTTAATACTATTCCTATTCTAATCTATATCTATTTGATATATCATTGTTGCAAAAATCGTGTCGCTGGCCGCGGCGAGGAAGGCCGGAATCGGCCTCCTCAGCTGCCGCCTCGCCGGTTGAACCGGCCTTTAATTTTTTTTTTTTTAAGTTGTAAAGTATCAAAAGTTCGACAAGGCATAACTTTTGACCCCGTTGTCCGTTTTGGACAAATATTTTTTTGAAATCGCGTATTTTTTCTACAAAAGTTCCGTAAGGCATAACCATGGCTTATCAGTTTTAACTTCCCGCCCAATTTCTAAAAAAACTCTCTTCCTATTAAAATATATTGATTTCTACAATAATTTTGGGTTAAAATTATATTCTAATATTATAAAATTGTGTAATACAATTTTCTATTCTAATCTATATCTATACTAATATCGTTTTTGGACAAATGGTTTTTTCAAATCGCGTATTTTTTCGAGATCTATCCACCGCAAACTGCCTTAGGCGGTTTGGCCCACCAATTTCACCCGTAAAAAAAAAAAAAAAACTTTATTAAATGGTTTCTAAGAAAAAATTATGAGAACCTTATATTTTATTAATGAATTTTTAAAAATTTTAATTAAAAATTGTCGCGTGGATTAATTAATAATCTTTCTTTATAATTGGTCAAATTATTTAATTATGGTAAATTAGGGAATAATTAATGATGGTAATATAAATCTTAGAAGAATATATAATTGAAGAATATTTAATTATTTTTATATTATTATTGTGACTCACGGAATACAATACAAGAATATTTAATTATGGTTATATTATTATTGTGCATCACCAACATTATATACTAACAGTACTTGAAAAGAAATAAATAATAATAATAATAATAATAATATAAGTGGTAATCATAATATCTAAAAGTAATTAAGTGTTATTAATAAAAATAGTAAGAATATTAACGTAAGAATTATAACATAGAATAAATCGTAATAATTAATAACTATAGTCTATGATTAAATTTGGAATTGTCAGAAAAGATAAGCGACCTCTGGTAAAATTAACTCTTAAATAATTATATATCGATTTAAATATTCTTAATATATTACAACAAACCATTCCGTGCATCGCACGAGTGAAAATACTAGTATAAGTAACAATAAATTTTAAAATCAACATAGTAATAACATAATTAAACTTTTAAAAATATTAAATATTACATTATATAAACTATACTTACATTTTTAATAAAACTAATTCTACTTTGTATCGTAACATTACAATAATACTTATAAATTTTTGTCCATACATAGCGCGGGGTAAATACTAGTATAGTTAAGGACTGCGTTAATCTATACAAATTTAAAATTAAATTCTTTTAATTTGTAAATGAAATTCTCTTAATTATAATTAATAAAATATAAAATATAATTAAGGAAATGAAATTATAAAATTAACAAAATGTGTGTTCCGTAACAAAATTTTTTTCCAAAGAAAAGAAAAAGTGTGATTCAACGGGAAGTCCAGAACCGAGTGAGCACTCACAACTCCCAATCGCAAAACTCAAAACCTCCAATTGGTCAGGAGGAGTTTTTGGCAGAACGCGGCGGCAGGGATGGCAACAACGTCAACGTGATCCTCCCTCCCAATGTCCAACGTCGCCTCGCCGCCGACTTATCGGCGCCCGTCACCACCGGCTCACCGCCGGACGATTCCAAGCAGAACCTCAACCACGTCATTAACTGCATACAGAAAACCCTTGGGATGCTTCACCAGCTCTATCTCACAGTGTCTTCCTTCAATGTCGCCTCCCAGCTTCCCTTTCTCCAGCGCCTGTATGTACCCTCCGCAATATTCACCTTTTAAATATTCTATATTTGAAATTGTTTCCACTGCTTTATGAATTTTATCAAAATTTCGTTTAGGAATACTCTGTGTTGGAGTTTGATAATATGGTCAAATTAGCAGAGAAATGTGATATTCAGGTGCCTATGGAGGTTCTCAAGTAATATTTCATTTTTCCTCGTCATTTTACTTATTAATATTGTAAATTTTACTTATTCAATCTGTTCTCATTATCTTATTTTCTCTTTCTTTAGTTTAATTGACGATGGGAAGAATCCAGATGAGTTTACTAGGGACGTTTTGAATAGTTGCATCGTCAATAACCAGATCACTAGAGGAAAAACAGATGCTTTCAAGGTTAGATTTACTTTTATTTGCACTCTATATGCTTCCACGAGCGTAATTGCAAGGTATTCTCAATGCTTGAGGTGGTATATGTGTTTGAGAGGATGAGTGCAAAGCAAAGGCCTGGTCAGTAGTGTCCCTAAAACTTTTTTAGTTACATACTTCTATCCTTTCCTTCACAATCATCCGGTTCTCCATCACCATAATTGACAAATCACTTTCCATAATTTTTTTGTGCCATCACCATTCTTGAAGCCATACAACTGCAACTCTTAATGGGGCACTCTTCAATCTATCTATATGTGATAATTACTTTTCTCTTCCTCACAATAAAATTAAAAAAAAAAAAAATTCTTTTGTGGCGTCTTTTGGCTCATTCAATTCAATGCAATAACATATTTCTTTTCTCACTCTGGCACAGGGTTTGCGAAAGCATCTTTTAGATGAACTCGAAGAGGCATTTCTTGATGAAGTGGAAGCTTATAGGATGATCCGTGCAACTTCTGCTGCAGTAAGTTTCTCAGTTTTTGCACTTGCTGCAATCTCTATAGTTTATAGGCTAATGTACTCAACTAGGCCTTGATACCAATTTATTTGGCCTCTGCAATATGGGTTTGATTTGGACTTAATATAATTATACACTAAATTTTTAGTGAGCATATGAGTTAGCACTTACCTTCTATATAAGTAGCAATTACCCTCTTTTCTCCTATTTTTAATAAAACCCAGACCAGATACCGGACCAGCCTCTAATATCAAGTTTCTGGTAATCTGTTACGTACGCCTGGTTCCACTATTTGACAAACTGGTAGCCATCAGAATCTATGTGCTGTGTGATCCAATACCACATCTTTTGCAACTGAGTTTGGATCCTCTATCGACCAGGATACTCCAAACCCCTTTGGATAGGATCTGGATGATGCCATGCCATCCTCATTCGATTAGAAGGCTAAGATCTATAAGCTATACCTACAAGTTCCTCAATCCATTGCCGGCGTAAAGTATCTCTCTTCACACCCTTTTCAAATTAAAATTAACAACCAACCCCAATAAAAAAACTTTGGAAAAAGGGTTAAATAAGCTCCCTAACTAAACAAAGCTCCATGTAACCCCATTAAACCGGCAAAAAAGTGTGATTAAGTCATAATCTTACCTATTCAGTAGCAGGTTGCTGCGGATGTTGCTAACACTTGGCTCTCTAATGTTTACGTGAGTCTTAGTATACAATTAGTTAATTAATTAATTAATTTTTTGAATCTTTTTCTAAAATAGCCATTGGCTGTCTCTTGTTGGTGGCTATTGACAGACAGCCACTGTTGTTCGAAAACTAAACATTGAGTCCATATCTGGACCTTAATGATGAGGGCAGCCATGGCTGCTTTCTTTACTAAGGTCTAGACTAGATCTGGGTACAAGACAACCATGGCGATTTAAAAAAATTTTGAATTGTTTCTAGACAGCCTTGGTTGTCCTTGTATAGTTTTTGGACAGCTGTGGCTGTTCATCAACGGAGACAGCCACCAGCTGTCTTCTCTGATGACAACCAGTGGCTATTTAAAAAAAATTGAAAAATCAATAAATTAATTACTAATTGTACACTAGGATCCACGTGACCTTTAAAATGCCACGCATTAGCCACATGTGCTGTAACTTGTTGAATAGGTAAGATTAGACTGAATTGCACTTTTGTTGCCAGTTTAAGAGGGTTAGATGAAGTCTTTTTATGTTAGGGGGTTCAATTGCACTTTTCACTTGACTTAGGGAGCTTATTTGACCCTATTTCCAAAAACTTTATTTCAATTGAGATTTGAGACCCAAAAGCGGCTATAAGAAAGGGTGGATGCAATATCAGTGGATGTGTTGGTGCTTGAAGAATAAAAACTTGATAACAGTGGAGTACTGCCCAGATTATCATCTTCTGGAAACAATGCAAAAAAAATCTTCTTTCATTATTGTGAAAAGTAGTCAATGATGTGAAAAGCAACCACTGCTGATGCGATGTGTTTATCAGCATGGTAAAAGAGATTTACATGATCCACCTAGAAAAAAAGTAATGAGATTGAAATTGATGAAGATCCATTGGTACCTTTTAGTTTGAAGCGCATTATGGTTAGAGGATATAGATAATTAGAATGAAACTGTTGAAGAACGACTAGAAGAAGAAGAATATATAGAGTTGAAGAGAAACAGCGAGTGATTTAGGGTCACGATGGTTAACATGGGTTTTAGATTTCAGCCTTTGGATCTTGAAAGGATGATGTGGCATCATAGAGACCATGACTAGTTCAAATTGGTTGATCTACCTAATGTCCCAAGTTCTTTCTCCTTAAAACCACTAGCCCTTGACTCCTTGAGCTTATAAATCACTTAAAATCCTGTCAAATTAATAAAAATTCCAATTAAATCTTGCAAAACCAAATTGACCAACCTGAGTAATCTATTGTAGAGAGAGGGAGAGATAGGGTGCATATGATTGGTAAATGATTGCTGATTGACAGGAAGGAAAAGAGGTCGAGGGAGTTGGGAGGGATAATATAAGGTAGAGAAGAGGGAGATTTGAGACAGGAGAATCAGAGAGAGACAACAGAGAAGGATGCAAATTGGAGAGACACAATAGAGAACGACGAAAATTGCAGAGGTGATAAAAATGGGTACAAAGAACTAGATCTCACTCAAAGTTATGCAATCATACATTTGTTGCCAAGGATCTGATGAGACAGGCTACTAAATGAATTAAGTGACAAGAATTGATACATGACTAAATGGCACTATGTTATTGGATTGCGCATACTTTATAAAATTTACTAATATATTGACTGTCATAAAATCTGCCACACATAATCATAGAGCCTAATTTTCATTTTCATGTTATATTGTGAGATTATAAGACCACACAAGAATCCCAAGGATGGATTGTGGAAGATTTCATTATCCCTTAGAAATTATACGGAAGCCATCATTCACGGGACTTTAACACTCTGAATTGTCAAAATAATTGAATTTTGACTTGAGGGATGTTAGTACACCCTCAAGGGCTGGGCTGAGCCAAAAATAAAAATCTTTGCTTGACTCACTCAACATTCCAAAAAGAGTAAATTTTTTAAATTCAAATTTAGTTCAGAATTATTATATTTATAAATTTATGTATTTATTTTATTATAATAAGTTATAAGTTAAAACTTATTTATTTACATCTTATTATAATTATTATTGATCTTTATAACTTTTATAAATTTTAATTTATAATTTTATTTTAATATAAATTATTATTATTATTGTTATTATTATTATTATTATTATTATTATTATTATTATTATTATTATTATTATTATTATTATTATTATTATTATCATCATCATTAAAATAATTAATATTTTATAAGAAATAACTTTGTAACAAATTTATGTTTATGTTTTTAAAAATGAACCAAATAAAAAAAATACAATTTTCTGAATTTGAGTGAAACAAAAAAAAATAAAAAAATAATATTTTTTAACTTTGAACCAAACACTAGAAAATGCAATTGTTTTCCAAAAAATGAATCATTTTTTCGGAAATCATTTTACAAAAAACATTTTTCATATTTCCAAATGGACCCTAAAGATATGATCATATAAGATCTATCAAAATGATCATATAAGATCTATAAAAAATGCAGTCTTTGGAACCTTATGATATTGCTGTAACTGAGTGTTAAATGCATTTGTTTATTGATATTGCTTGAAGCATTACTTTGTCTCTACTATAGTTATTACAACAGCTGATCTTTAACATCCAAAACAGGAAGCAAAACAGTTGGCTCAAGCACTGAAGGCATTACCAAATGGCAATGTAAAGGTGAAGCCAGAAATTTAAAAGTCAACATGTTGATTAAATTCTGGTATATCTAGGCTTTCTTTGAAACTGTCAACATCTTGAACAATGTGAGAGGAATGTAATTATTTGGTATAGCTACAGGCGATTTCACTTGAATGTTCTAGATGTAATTTATAGACTCACTCTACAGGCGATTTCACTTGAATGTTCTAGATGTAATTTATAGACTCACTCTATACTGCATAGGGAATCATGTGAAGTAGGTAAGACCTGAGATTATGTTCAAACACAGTACAGTCTCCAGCTTGTTATTGTATGCATTAACATTTAATTAGCTTTGGAGTGTTTACTTGTGCATATGACGCTGACTTTATAGCATATAGAATTTTGTTCTATTTCTTCTGCTGATAACTGTGTTTTAGATAGCCAGTCTCAATCTATTGTGATATGAAGAGTTGTTGCCCATTCTTTGGTGCTTTATATATTGTAAATTGTTGTATATTTATCTGTTGAGTGTTGATTGATAGAATAAAAAAAGATGATTCTGATTGCGATATTATGATAAATTCTGAAGCTGTAAGTGAAAATCATGGGGGAATTTTTGCTCTCCTGGTAGGACCATCGCACATGCCATGGGACTATGTTCGATGCAGAATGGGTAGTGGAGACTGGAGGCCACTATTGCAACATCTTCAGTATCAAAAGAGGTATCTGCTTTTCAGATCATCTCGAGGATCCGATGAAGTACACAAAATTTGATCTTCTACTACCTAAATGATTCCTTTGACATTCATTATCCCCACCAAAAGAACTAGCCTAGAATTCCCACCACTGTGAACTACAACAGGAATTGTGAAAGAAGCCATCGGTCTCAAACTCAGATTTTTCCCCAATAGAGGAGAAGGAGCCTTCTCCTGTATCTATTATGTTCAGAACACCAGTTTCTGCTTCCGGGTGGTTGGTCTGTTCACTGTTGGCATTCCACAAAGGTAGAACAAATTCTGGGCTGGAAGTTTGCTGTGTACAGTTTGGCTTCTCCTCTGTCCCTAACGAGGTTCCCTCCTCATCAGTCTCCTTATCGCCAGTTTCTTCGGTCAGTTTCCTTAGACTCTGTAACTGCCATGAATAAATTTGTTGTTAGTTTTCTTGATTCTTCAGTCTTATAACATGCATATGTAGTAGGTAAGTACAGACCTGGAGAAGCAGGGATTCGTGCTCTTGTTTCAGTGTTTGTAACTTGGAATTTAGAGCATCATAACTCATCTTGAGGGTCCTGTAATCACGCTCGATCTGCTTCGACTTGGATCTAGCCCTCTTGTTCTGGAACCATATAGCCACCTGGCGAGGCTGCAGTCCCAGATTCTTAGCCAGCTGCTGCTTCACCCGAAGCTCAGGCCTCGTCTGCGCCTCAAACATGCTCTCCAGCAACTGGATTTGTGCGTCGTTGAATCGCCTTCTGTTGCTGTCCTTGCCTCCACCGCCGCCCTTCCCAGGATGCAGTCCCTCCTCTTCCACAGGGAACATATTCTTAGACTGCTATTATAGTTGCAGGGATAAACTTTTTCTCAGTTCATACACAACCAGATTGTAGACTACTGGTATTATTATAGTTTTGTGAGGAGGTTTGAAAGCAAAGAGGTGTGGCTACTTATATGTCACAGAATACATTTGGTTAATAAGTTGATTCTGATACTGACAAAAGTGAGAAGATACTAGTTGTCCAGCTTTAGGCTTTGATGTTTACCCTACTGGGGCCACTCCATTAATACACTTGTTAGGATTCTGTTAAGATCACCTTCAAGTAATCTAGTCTTAGTACGCCAATCCTTTAAAATGTAAAAATTTCTGCCCTAATTTATAAGTTTTAGTGGTTTGATTTAGTGATCAAATGGACTTGTTATTTTCTAATTTATAATAGTACAAAGTTTTGGTCATCATATCGAGGAAAAAAAGTATATTTATATATGAAAAGATTGCCTTCATGTTAAAGAATGTTGCATCAATTCACTATTTAGTCCCACCACAACCTTTTGTTGTTTCTCGGAACTTGACCTGTGGTGCAGCCACCGTTAGTTTATTTTCTTGTATTAATTAATAATTTAATATTGTTTCCAGCCTGATGGTTTTTTTTTTTTCAAATTATTTTGTGGACCCAGGTCAACCTTGCAAGGTGGACTTGGGTCTAATGTTCACAATTTACCTTTTAAAAATTTACAATTTGTATATTACGAACACAATGTTAATATTACTTTGTTTTGTATTTACAAGTTTCTTTCAAATACTGTAGTCATACAATATTAACACATTAGGATTTGATGACCCTGTATTATATTCACAAATTTCCTTCAACAACTGTTATGCGTTTTTGACTTAATAACACAATTTATATTTTAGAAATTCACAATTCCAATACTAAAATTACATAATTTATACGTCGTTTAGGACCAGGGTTCACCTTGCAAAGTGGACCCTGATCCATGATATAACAACTCAATTCTTATTTGGAAATCAATTTAACAAAAACTATGATTTTGTTTTTAATTTTTAAAATTAAGTTAAATTTCATTCATCCAAAAAAAAAAAAAAGAAAAAAAGAAAAAAAAAGAAATTTAAGTTAAATTAACTGCACTATTATCTTCCAGTATCTGTACATATATATAAGACGTCAAAGCTCCCTAGTCATGGAGTATTCTAGTGTATTAGTTATTTTCGTAAAAATATATATAGTTATCATAAAATAAAACATTTTTTTTTTCTTGTACAAAGAATGAGGACATTAAAGTTGTATAAATTGTTGTCACACCATTATAATTAAATTAACATAAATAATAGATTAAACTAAGTGTACGTTGATGAAGCATTTTGAACGTAAGGATCGGATAATCTGTAAACAAATCATTTTCGCACAAGGAAGCATCGACACATGTATCGATTCAGCCGAAAACGGGTGTAGGGATAATCGCATGGGACATATCGCATAAACAGCGGACCCACCTCCTCCAATCAGAGCAAGCCATGTTGCACATAGTCAACACGTTAACCTCGTTACGTGGTCTTGTAGTATGTTTGTTTGTTTAAAAATTGGAATGGACTTCATGGCCATGTGGCGTCGTGCCGCGTTTCGTCTCCACTCTGTCACGCTGAAATATGATGAGGATGATGGAGCAACTTTATCTGAATTAGTCGAACAATTGGCTTTTTATTTATCTGAATGGTGGAGCAACACGAAATCCCTCTTTTCATTAGGGATGTCAATGGGGCGGGATGGGGGTGGAGGCGGGGGACATACCCCATCCCCGCCCCTGACCTTTTTCTCATTCTCCGTTTTCGTCCCCGTTCCCGTCCCCATCGGGAAAGGGAAAAGTCCCCATCCCCATCCCCACGGGGATTATTCGGGGGAGGGGAATCTCCACCCCCGTTAATAAGTTATAAAAAATAAAAATTAAACATTAAAAAATATTTAAATAAATAACGCATATATATTCATCCCCAACTTAAAGTAGTATTTAATATTTTACAATTAAACAAGTTATTTAAATATGCATTTCATAAGCATGACATACAATGACAAGAATGCTTCTAAAATTATATAGTGTTTACAAAGTAATACATATGTGTGTTGTGGGGCTATATATATATATATATATATATATATATATATATATATATATATATATATATCGGGGGCGGGACGGAGAGAGTACTCCCCATCCCGGCCCCCATCCTCGGTGGGAAATTCAAAATTGTCCCCATCCCCAATCCCCTATTTTTGTCCCTATCCCCGTCCCCGTAGGGGCGGGAAATTGAGTTCCACGTCGGATGCGGGTACCATTGACATCCCTACTTTTCATGAGTTATTTATTAGTCTTTTTAGTTGGGCAAGCGTGAAGCGAATTGGAGTAGACTTAAAATGAATTTGCATCCAATTTATTAAGGGTGAATTTGAAAAATCTTATCAACATCCAAATTTATTAGAGATATGGGTTTAATCTTTTTTTTTTTTCTTTGAATGTTACTGGCTCTATTACATTGTAGTATGTGTCATATACTTTTTCAACCTACTGAAACACAAAGAACCAATAACGCCTCCACTAAGGCTCGAACTTATAACCTTTCAAATAAAAGTCCAACCCGGGTACCATTAGACCACATAGTCCTGGTGTTTAATCTAATCCAACCTATTAATAGCGAATTTTGCAAATATGTTTTAAAAATAGGGAGTATAATAAATTATAATATAAGATTTCAATCATTCAAAAATCAAAATTACAATTTTTTTTTCAAATATTTCATTAAAACGAAAACCAAATACTCAATTTTTTTTTTAAATACAAATAATTAATTTAAAATTCAGACAAATTTAAATTACAAATTTTCATTCATCTTCAATGCAATGTTGAACTTGTGATTTTGATGTCGTGAAGAAAAACAAATTTGACTTGAAGAATAAAGACGAAATTAAAAAAGAGATACCTTAAACCCTAGGTTAAGTGTAGAAAAATTAAAAATTAAAATTGAGGTGTAATTTTAAATTTAGGCTACACTTTGAAAAAGGGATACTTAAAACCCTAGGTTAAGGGTAAAAAGTTAAAAATTAAAATTGAATTGTAATTTTAAATTTAGGTTACACTTGTTATATGACGCGTAACACACATATAGTATATTTTGAGAAATCACATTCACGTTTAATCCACTAATAACATATTTCCATCAGTTCCGCATTTACCAAAATAATTAATGACTAATTTAGTCAAAACATAATTTTAAGTAGCGATTACAGATTTTTTTATAAATCGAAGACCATGATGCTGGCATTTTTTATTTTTTATTTTTTTTAGTTTCATTCTTGTTTTTAAATGGAGTGTGAATCCAGATATGAATAATTGATTGCGAAGAAGATGATGCTAATTATGTCCGACAGGAAACAAAAGAGAAATGTTCGTACTCCCGTGTTCACACACCAAATTCAATCTATGTTTGTGTTGGTGTCATATCACAATACAAACAAGAATTATTATTAGTCAGGGTTTTTACATTTCCGAATATAATAAAATTTTGCATAAGATTGTTACTTTATCTAAAAGTTGTTGTGAATAATCTATATCTATATAATAATAGAAGTGTCTGGAAAGGTTTTATCTCCAAAACTTAGGGACAAATTTATCAAACCACACTCATAATTAATTTAAATAAAATCATTGATAACATTACTTGCAATCTTTATTTCTAAAATTACGGATAAATTATGTCATTCATAATTAATTTACATTAATATTCCTAATTTACATCCGTACGTTGCAACTTTCCTATAAAACCTATTTTATTCACTCTTACAGTCTTCAATCTTTTCACTCTTACAGTCTCCAATCTTTATATGATATTTCTGTTGCGTGTGTGATTTTTGAAGGGGAAATTGGATGATGTGGTTCTTGGATTTGAAACGCTTGAACCCTACTAGGTGAGTTTTTGTGAACGCGTTTGATATTTTGTGTTTTCTTATGAGGAATGATGAGATGAGTTCAGAAAGGGCTGACTCCATACTTTGGATGCATTGTGGGGCGGGTGGCCAATCGGGTCAAAGATGGGAAATTCAAACTCAATGGAGTTGGATATTCTCTGCCATTAAACAGGCCCCCTAACAGTGTCCATTATGGTGAGTCTCGATCTGCAAAATTCTTTAGAATCATAATGTAGTTGAGATTCTATTTCATTGCTATTTGATTTGATAAGATTTTGAATAGTAGTTTGGTTTGAGTTAAGCAAGATCATTTCTATAGTGTACGTTTTTATTTACGGAGAAACCCGCAATCACTCTCCGAAATGTACTTTTGCGTCTCAGGTTAAGTCGCTTTGTTATCAAAACTGATCGGCTCAAGTCAAGAAGGCCCATAGATAATTGAACTTGGAACATTGCGGTTACCAATATACAGCCCAGATGAACTACAACAAAATTGAGCATAAATATTAGACCATTAGCATCCGTTATTCGAAAAAGAGATGTTAAAACAAGCGCGGTGGTAGTTTTGTAATATTTTAAACAACAATTAGCATCTGTTGTTCAAAAGAACTGATGTTAAAAGTGTAATTTTAATAAATCAGGCTCTTTTAGCGTCTGTTCACGTCCACCTTGAAGTCAACCCGACGCTAGAAGGGCCACCAAATCTAATAAATTAATTTTGTTAAAACAAAAAAAGTAAAAAAAAAAAAAAAAACTAAGAGTCCAAAGATTTAGCTCCACAGATCTACAAGAAGTCGAGAGCCAACCCTTAGCTCCACAGATCTACGAGACATCTGTGATCATCTACCCGTGACAACCATCGTCTTCTCCACAGATGTACAAGAGCCAACTTTCAATTTCACAGATCTACGAGACCATGGGAGAATAGGCTGGATGTGTAGTAGTACAGTGTATAATTCTACAAGAATTTTATTTGTAATTACTCTGTCCAGTGTTCACGGTAGCGGTTGTAGCGGGCGTCTCCGGCAACGACATCGAAAATGGGATCACCGAAGGCGGTGCGAACAGTATCACAGGAAGCATTCGATGAAATGGTGAAGGAGAACATGGAGGACCTCGGAATGCACGCAACCGAAGCTCTCGAAGACGCAATCCAAACACTAACCCTCCAAGGCGTCGATCTCTCTGGTATGTTACTTTCTCCCTCTTACTATCCCCAACCAAGTGATAGAAATTTCATAACAGCTCATTTTATATTCGATAGGCATAGTGACTTGCGTCCTGGGTGTGAGTTCCGTGAATGACAATCCGGTTATTCAAATGATCGAGAGACTGAAGCAGTTGGATCTCGAGTTGGCTAGTTCAGTTGTAAACGATGGTGTTCTGAAGGAAATTGTGGAATTGTTGGATAGGTTGAATGATTCGTGCACTGGTAAAGGATCGGGTAATGTGGCTATGGATTTATTTTGAATTTTAGTGTTGCCTTAATATTATTTTTTGTTGATTTATAGGGAGATATATGCAGCTAGAGGGCAGTATATGCTAGAATGAAAAACAATATTTGAAATTTAACAAATAAATGTTTGTTTTCCTTTACTAATCCATGCCCAACTACAAGGAATTGTTAATTGTTTCGTTGGTTCTCCTTGTTCAACTTCTGTTTTGTATTTTACGTTCAGGTGTGTGGTTAGTGGTTCTGGAAAAATTGCAATGCATGTCCTAGAGAAGCTTATTGCACATGGGGCTGTTCCCATCACTGTATCAGGTGATTATTATATACTACTCCGTATATCAATTAAGTGAACTGGAATTTTTTTGTTGGATATATATATTCAGTTGCATGGCAATCTGCATATGATTCCACTAGAAAAATTTAGATAAACATGTTGAAGTCTCAAAATATGCATGTGAAGTGCTGTTGCTCTAGCAACTATTTTATAAGATACTTGTGCACTAGAAAGTCATAGTTTGAAGAAATGTATTCCTTTTTTCAACTTCCAAATGTATTTTACAGATTCAAAAGGTTATCTGGTGGATGAAGATGGATTTGATTTCATGAAAATATCTTTCGTAAGGGACATTAATAAGGTTTGTATTTTTTTAATTTTTTTTTTGGTTATATAGAATTATGACCTTGAGTTCTTGAACTGTGTTTTTATGATTAACTTTTCAGAGATTACTCAAAAACTTCGCTCAAAATACTATGATGAAGCAAATCCTTGGAATGAAAGGTGTGATGTGGCATTCCCCTGTGCCTCACAGAATGAAATTGATCATTCTAATGCGGTTAACTTGGTAAACTCGGGTTGTCGCATAGTTGTAGAAGGTATTGGAGAATATTGTGACAGTCCCTATAACATTGACATCCCCGCACTATCAATTCACTATTTTTCTGATGATAATCATTGTCGCCTCTAGTATTTACTGCATTTGTATTCCCTTCAGGCTCAAATATGCCTTGTACCCCTGACGCAGTTGACGTTCTGAGGAAGGCCAATGTTATAGTTGCTCCTTTTATGGCTGCTGGGGTGGGAGGGGTACGCTCTACTTTTCTTGGTTTTTTTCTTGAAAGCCATCTATCTATCTAAAATTAACACTAAAATGGTGGTATTTGTGTTGCTTTCTCTCTTTGTTCTCTGGAAATGGAAAACCAAATGACTAATCATTTCTTGTTCCTCCATCGTTCCTTTTGTTTTCCCATTACTAGTTCTTAATTGATGTAATTTTCTATTTTATTTTGTGGTATGTAGTCTTATGCTAATGCCGTCATTAGTTCCTTTGAAGACCCAAAGAAGATCCTGGAGTAAACTACGCTAGAAATGAACAATGATTTGATAAAAATGCACCAAGCTACAGCAGATGTATGCTTTCTCTTGGCATTGCTTTCGTTTTTTTCCCCTCAATTTGTTGAGCTCTTTGATATATTTCCTTTACATGGTTCTGAGGAATAAATGACCAATATTAGCTACAAAAATAAGAATCCAGAATTCACTGCTTCATCTGATTTAGGTATATGGAAGGCCAAGTGTTAAGTTCATGTCTTTTTCTCATATTGAAGGTCTTGGCTTCACAGAAGCAGTTGGAAAACAGATACAAAGCTGCACAACAAGCCTCTGAGGGCTGGTAACAGCTAAGAAGCCTTGGCTTGATTTATACTGTTCTTTCTTGCTTTGACTTCTTCTTTCTTTATTCTTTTGTTGTTTTTTTTTTTTGTTCATTAGTTCTATTATAGGTGTCGTAGACACAACTTGCTCTTGAAAAGGGAGATGAGGATCTTGCACGTGAAGCTCTGAAACGTAGAAAATCTTATGCTGTAAGGCCTTTCTGTAATCTGTATCAAAGTAATCATATTAATTTTTATTAATTTTGAATGTTTTGGAAGATAAATAGATAATCCTATCTCTTCCGATCCTCTGTTTCATTTTATCAGCTTCCACGTACCCTCGCTCTTTCTCATTAATTTTCCATCGTCTTCAATTCTTGTCTAAAAGTTTTCGATCTGGAAAACCAAAAGGTTTACTAACAGTCTCTCTCATGTATCTTTTTCTGACGTTTTATTATAGTCTTCACCGCATGAAATACTAGAATTCTTGATGATTTGATTCTGTATTTTGTGTTGTGGAATCTGCAGAAATGGCGCAACTGCTGCTCCACGGTACACTCCATGTCTGCGTCTATGAGGTTGACAAGATAAAGACCGATGGCCTCCATAACTTATTCCATAAGGTAATTAATTAATTATAATTCTTTTTTGATCGATCGAAATACTTAACTATATTCCATTTCAATTTCGACCGGCCTTGCTATCAATAGTATAGCATAGATTTATATATATTCTTATAAACTTGATTGATCCCATATTGGTTGTATTGAATATTGATGATTATCATTAGTTAATTAGGATATATTATTAACTATTATTAATGGTTGGATTAAATTGATTATTGTGAATGATTAATTTAGATTATGTTGAATATGGTCGAAAGATTTTATTGTGGATTGTGTTATATTATGAATATTATTGTGGAATTGGACGATTTGATTAATTTAGATTATGTTGAATATGGTCGAAAGATTTTATTGTGGATTGCGTTATATTATGAATATTATTGTGGAATTGGACGATTATTTATGGATGATTTAATTTGATATGTTAAATAATATTGTTGAAAATTATGGATTGTAGGGTATCCCCCTTCTTATAATAATAAAAAATAATATTGTTGAAAATTACAATGTGAATGATTAATTTAGATTATGTTGAATAGGGTCAAAAGATTTTTTTGTGGGTATTGGATGATTATTTGTGGATGATTTAATTGAAAATTACAGTGGAGAATTTTTTTTTATTAAAATAAGGACAATAGGCTAAGGACAATAGGCTTCAGATTCTTGTAGAGAAACAGACGCCTATTGTCTTTATTTTTTAAAGAATAAGCCTACTAGAGGCGTCTGTTGTAAGAGAAGAACAGACGCCTATGAACGACAGACGCTAAAAGTAAAGACTATTAGCGTCTGGTCCATAGGCGTCTGTCGTACAACAGATGCCTATTGCTTTTTACAACAGACGCTGATGACCTGTTTTGTACTAGTAGCTTCTACATTGAGTTCCAAAACCACAGAGGGAATATTGAATTATTTTGACTGTTTTTCTGTTTAAGGTGGAATGAAGGGATATGACAAGAGGTTTTTGAATTTAAGGAGGGTGAAAATTCATCAATTGCCTTTAAATATCAGTCATGATGGGGAGGAACGTACATATCACATCTTTGTAATGCAATTTTTATTGATTTTTTTTGTTTTGTTTTGTTTTCATACTGCACTTTGTAGGGTTCAAACTCAGAGACATTTTTATCATAGCAACATTATTGGACAAAATTATCATTTTACATTAACATTTAAAGACCTTAAATTAATAATTACACTTTCTTATTAACGAACATTACTAATAATTAGCTTCAGTTTTAAAGGAAATGTTAATGTCAATTACATTACATTATAAAATAATGAAACGCATGCATAATGTTATACCAATATAATAATAATCAATTAATGATAATAAAGGCATAATAGCCAATTATGAACGAAATGTATACATATGGTCTTGAAAACTAAAACGTACATTTACCAAGAAATCTATAACAGTAATAATTACCTATTTAATATTTATTATGGTAATTAAAGAATTAATCATATGAATATTAGTATAATTGACTAATAATTATTATATTAATTATGATTATAATTACACATATATTATTATAATTACAATTACAATTAAACATGGATCATTGGATTTATTTTTATATAATAATTATTACAATTAATTCATTCAGATATAGGCGAGTAAAAAGATAAATGCTATAAAAGTATAATTACATAGATATTAATATAATAACCTTTATGGTAATTAAGCTAAACATGAATCGTTGGAATTATTTTTATAATAATTACAATTAAATTATTTCTCTTTTTTTTTTCATATTTATTTTAGTAATAACATAATTACATAAATCATATTAGATATTGATTTTTTCAAGATAATTTGCAGATAAACGAGTCATATATATATATATATATATATATATATATATATATATATATATATATATATATATATATATATATATATTATTCAATTAATTGAGTGATAATTTTGCATTAATTTTATAATCAAATAAATGCACACATTCAAATATTAGAATTGTTTATAAATTCATCTTTAATTTTATTATCTAAATATATAATAAAAAATTATTCGTGCATCGCACGAGTAATAATAATAACAATAACAATAACAATAACAATAATAATAATAATAATAATAATAATAATAATAATAATAATATTAATAATAATAATAATAATAATTATTATTATTATTATTATTATTATAAAAATAATAACAATAATAATAATAATAACAATTTAATCTAAAAACATAATAAGTCTCAATCAAAGTTATATCCTTAATTTATGTCCATATTTTTAGTGCTAATCATTTTGTACATTATGCTTTTAGAGTTGTACTATATATTTTTTGGACAAAAATACCCCTACCATTTTAACTTTCGTTATCTTTTCTATTATTGTTACCATGCACATCGACACATGCATCCACCATATATTTTCTTATATTTTTTAATGATAATAATATTTGTACATTATATATTGGATTAATATAGTAAATATATTTGATTTCATATAGATTTTAGAGTTAATAATCGATTTGGTCCTCTGACTATCGCGAAACTACCAATTTGGTCCTCGACTATATTTCTTACCAAATTAAGTCTTTAACTTTTCAATTTTTACTCGATTTCGTCATTCGTTCAATTAACCGTGAAGTATCCGTCTTCTCCAAGGACAAAAATGTAAATACACACCATGATGTGTGAAGTATCCATCTTCCTCAATTTACACTTCGACTGCCCCCTCTCCTCCACCGTCAGCCACCATCTCCGCCACAACCTCCTCCTCCTCCACCGGCGTCGCCAGCTGCTTTCCCTTACACACACCACCATTAGCTCTCAATTTCCAGCAATTACTCAATAAATGCCCAAATCTACAATAATTTGAGCAAAATTTAGGTATCTGCTCATAATCGATCCTCTGCCAGAAACCATTCGCACCTCTCCAATCCCAATCCATACTCTGTTCAACAATTTTTTACAAAAATCCACCTCCACTCTGACTCTCGCCACACTTGGCCGAGACCTCCTCTCCATCGCAGAATCCATAAACAGAAACCTTCCAATCGGACCACAAATTTTCTCCAACATGCAAGAATTGAACAAATGTAAAGGAAGGTTAGGGAGTTGTATCCATACGGAACAATCGACGATTATCTCCAGTTTGGCAACCATCGCGAGAACCAAAAACTCGCTCCAGCTACCGTTGCACGATTCTTCGCTAATATCCTTCTGCAATCATCCTCTCACAATTGTGCTTGCATTCAAGGATCCAATCTGTATTTCACCACAAAGGCGAAGGTTCAATCGAAATTCTGCCCTAATTGCATCCAGTCTCGGTCTATTTCGCCAAAATTGACTAATCACACCGAGACCAATCTGGGTCAATCTCTCCG